GCACGGCACACCCAGCTTTGGCATGGCCCATGACACGTACGATCGAGGCCTTGACAAGTGCTTTACTCGTAGAGCTTCTAGATCTAATCGGTTTCTGTGCAACAATTGCTCATAATCCGAATGGACAATCCAATCGATTGTGCAATCCCAATCCCGAAACTCCCACTCAATCAAACATATCTAATATCTTGATTAAGTTACATACATTCATTCACTATGGACCGTCCATAAGAAAGAATCATGTTATTCTGAATCACAGTTGATCGGTTTTAAGCAACGATTGCTCAAACTAGATTCCGAAACGCAAAATCACGTTTTGGTGAAGCGTCGGGTCCTAGACCGATCGGTCCAGGCGGTTCGGTCTTCAGGTCTGCGTCGGTCCAGACCTTTCGGTCCTGAATGGTCCAGACTTATCGGTCTTGGTCCAGACCGATCGGTCTACGCACGCAGACCGTTCAGTCCGGACCTGTCGGTCCAACCGACTTGCGAAACCCTAGATCGATCGGTCCGAAGAATCATGCAGAGCAACCAGGCTCTGATACCACTGTTGGGTTTTTCTGGGATCTCAAGAGCGAATCTAATTCCTAAGAGATCAGTTCTAGGGTTTGCGCAGCGGATGAAAAACAAAAATTTTAATGAAACCCTAGAACCTATCATGCATGATCTTGTAGAAACGTTAGAACGCTTACCTCAATCGATCCGGGGCCTGTATCAATCGAAGAACGCGTCTGATCACTGTAGGTAGGAAGAATACCTTGCCCTCTACACGTATCCACACGGCGGAAAGGATTCCAACGGTTGGAACTTGTCTGCTAGGACTGAAGAACGCTTTCTTCTTTGCGCAAAGGATTCAGGGATCTTTCTCTCAGGTTTTTCACTCTCCAAACCTCTCCCTAGGGTCTGAAATTCGTGCCAAAAGAGTTGGGTGGCGTCCCCAAAGTTAATTCCCCTTAAAACCCTAATTAGAGTGAGTTTAGTAAATCCCGACGTCTGGACCGGTCGGTCCAGGCCTAGACCGATCGGTCTGGAGCTTTTAAATGTCTGGACTGATCGGTCCATGTCTGGACCGATCGGTCTGGAGCAATTTCTGGACCGAGTGACTTTCACACGTTACCTCTGGACCGACCGGTCTACGTCTAGACCGATCGGTCTGGCCTCCGCTCCACCGGGAATTTCTCGTCTCTTCACGCGCATTCGTCCTTTGCTGTTTGTGTGACTCTGTAGACTCATCCGATATAGCAGTATAACACGAAATCTCTTATTTCGGTTACACAAGTCATAGGCGGTCTCTAGCAAGACACTATGACTACCTATCTCGAATAGAGGTTGTTCGTGATCCTACGAACGCCAGTGATGATTCCGTTTGATGATCCTTTTGTATCATGATATCATATGTCGAATATAAGGCATGGACAAGCCACCTTATCTGATTCGACTGCTTTCTCGTTCACTGAGTTCGACTGTCTGAAATAGACGACGTTCGTCTATAGTGCGGCCACACATTTCTACAGTCTCGCTCACACGAGGGGCCCAGCGATATCTCTCTCTTTTACGAGAGGTACAAATCCCGTCTTGACTATCTACAATCCAGCACATGATTCGTTTCGTACCTGATACACGCCTTTATAGTCCTCCTGTTACGCAGGACGTTTGACGTATTCAAAGCACACAACTCCTCATGTTGGATTC